TGTGGAAAAAAACATTTATTACAGATTGTTGCCAAATTAATGCATCCCATAGCAGTTCTAAAAGGCTTTCCAGCTGTTTTCTCCCAAGTCTCCAAGCTTATTGAAGTCCTTGGGCATCTTCACAGTAAGCTTTTTACCAACACATCATGTGGTGATGTCTGTCCAGTTGCTTACCAGCTCACCAGGGACCTAGACTTTGGGAGAAGACTAGCGTTTAGGCCCTTGAGCATAGAGCAACAGACTTCTGAACTGGCCTGTGCACAGCAGATCTCTGAGGATGTTTAAACATCTGGATTTTAGAAGGAGTTTGTTCATTATGTGCCAGGCACTCTCTCCTTAGTCTTAAATCGCATGCATTACTTGACCAGGAAGCTCACTGGCTCGCTCTTGCTATCTTGCTCACTGAGGTTTTTCTACAGCTTTCTTCGGAATCACAGTAACTTCATGCTCCCCATCCTGAAAAACAAACTGTTAGAACAGCAAAATAGGAAGGAAAGCTTGGACCAAACCGGACTCACATTTCTGAGCACAGCTCAAATGCCATGCTCTGCTTAAATCTCATGGATTTATTGTTGTTACTAATTATTATATTTATTTTAGTGTGGAAAGATGTTTGCAAACTTGAATTTGCAGCTATTGGGTAGCTTTCTGGAAAAGAGTACAGGAAGGGTTGAACCCAAGCTGTGCTACCTGTTCTCCAGCTACCAGTATTTCCAGCTCTTCTGCATTTAGAATTGCTGGCGAATATGGTAACGTGGCTGTCATCTCAGGTTACTGCAGGTCAAATGAATCAGTGGCATCACTCTCATGGATCATGCGAGAGGAAGAAATCAGACCCTGAGGTGTTTAATTGTGCTCTAAGGCATGAAGAGAGACAGCAGGCTGGCTGACCAGTGCTCGGTGCCTGGGGGGATTGTGGCACTGGTCCTCATCGAAGCCATTTCCAGGCACGTGAAGGGCAAGAAGGTGACTGGAAACAGCCACATATGGATTTACCATGGGCAAACTGTGCCATATCAATGAGCTGAAGTGATGGAGGCAAGGTGGTGTGGGCAATGGGAGGGTGGAGGGCCTTGCTTATTTTGATGGTATCAAGGATTTTTGACACTTCAGTAGCACACCTGGAGCCAAACTGGATCCAGACTGGGTGGATGGTGCATGAGAAATTGGCTGAACCAGTAGTTCAGCACTGAACTGCAGAGAGTTACTGGGGGTATTCTGTGAGGGACAGTGTTAATATTTCCATTAATGATAGAAATGATGGGATGGAGTGCACCCTCAGCAAGTAAGACTTGACACCAAACTGGTGGAAGTAGTGGGTATGCAGGGGAGCAGAGCTGCCATTCAGAGGGACTTAGGAACCCTAACCCTAATGGGCTAACAGGAAGCCTATGAAGTTGAACAAAAAGAAAGGTAGAAACAGCTTTGCAGGGAAGACATGGGGATCCTAATGGGCAATAAATGGAATAGGACTCGGCAGCATGACCCTGTAGCCACAAAAGAAAACTGAAGGCAAGAACATAGCCAGAAGATAGAAGGGGGTTCCTGTTCTGCTTTGCACTTCTGAGACTGTGGACCCCAAGGCAAGAGGGAGCACAGCTGAGGCTTGAGGTGGTTGGATCTGAAGCACATGCCATACCAGGGAAGGCTGCGATAGCTGGTTGTGTTCTGGCTGAGAAGGCTCAGCGAGGAGTCCAATTGATGCCAACTGTCTGTAGGACAGCTATGAAGAAGGTGGAGCTGGACTGTGTTTAAAGGTGCACAGCAGAAGGACAGGCAGGAGGCAGTAGTCCCAAGTTGCAGCAGGGGAAATGCTGGTTCAGCAAAAGGAAGAGTACCTGCCACTGTGAGGATGCTGGAGCAGGTACTAAAAGTGGTGGTGGCTTCCAGCTTTGAAGCCAGGCCTGCCTTGAGCAGGACTAGAAACCTCCAGGTGCTATGTCTTAAATGTTGGGTTTTTCTTGAAGTAGTGTTTGTTAGGGCATGGAAATTAATAATGATATTGTCTAGTTTTTAAGGGGACAGTGTGCAAGTATTTGCCCTAAAGCCTTCGAATTCATGGCTTTAGGTCTTCGGAAGTGGACATTAATGAACCATGTAATTGTCTTGCCATGGATTCAAAATAAGCCATCTCTTTCTCCTTAAAAGAGACTGTTAGGTGCAGCAGAACTCGAGGTGGTGATGCATCTTTGCGACATTAGCGAGCATGCATGTGGCTTCAGAATGGGGGCATTGTCTGCAGCCCTGCTTACTTCTGCTGGAAGCTTATGTGAGAGCAAGATGTTTTAGGGGAAAACTCTGAAAGCGATGTCTTATGGCATAAAGCTATCTCCCTGGCAAAGAACAGATTTTCTTGGTAGCTTGCTGTCTTCCAGGAGCTTGAAATCATTCATGCCCGATATCCATTGAGCTCCAGCAGAATGTGGCTGTAACACTACAGTGAAATGGGAGCTATTAAATATGGGATCATTTGACATACGACACCTTCCACTAGACCAGGTTGCTCAAAGCACCATCCAGCCTGGCCTTGAGCACTGCCAGGGATGGGGCAACCACAGCTTCTCTGGTCAACCTGTTCCAGTGCCTCACCACCTATGCCTCCCAAATTAAATGTACCTTTCAATTTAATGGGTTAATTGAATAGCGAAGTGCAACAGTTTATGCAATGAGATATGGAACTATGGGGCTTAAATTATTTTGATTACTTTGATAGATGTTAAAGGGGAAGTTTAATGTGCTGAGTAGCTGAGCCTGCCTTGGTGAGGCTAGATATGAAATAATGGTCTTCCTTCTGAGGGTCTTTTAAGTAACATTGTTTATTCCCTTTTTTTAATCTCTGTGTTATGAAATATGACCACTCTTTCTGGCATTGTATGTGCCCTGTGGTTGTATTCAGGGCCAGCTCTGTGATTCCCTGCATCTCCAAATATTTGCATTGCTTTTTATGTAATTGCCCAGAGGTACTTGCGTTATACTGTAAACTTTCCAGGACCTGTACGTGGATTATTAAGCTGAGAATGTTGGATAAGCCCCAAATCAGATAGACACATTCCATAGTGTGTTTAAGGGCTTGTATGCATTACGAATGGGAGACAGTGCTCAGGTGAAAAGTGAGATGCTTACAAGTTTGTCCATGTAGTGATTTATCAGCACGAGCAACTCAGGTTGTCCAGGGAACCCCTCAGTCATAGAATCATGCAATCAAATAGGTTGGAAAAGCCCTTTAAGATCATCAAGCCCAACCTTTACCCCAGGACTGCCAAATCCACGACTAAACCCTGTCCCTAAGGGGCTCATCTACACACGTTTTGAATGCTTCCAGGGGCAGTGATTCCACCAGTTCCCTGGGAAGCCTGTTTCAATGCTTGACCACCCTTTCGAGGGTCCCAGTATGATGTTGGGGTGATGCCCCTTGCTTGCTGAGGCTCTGATGCCCGTGAACAGCAGCAATCAGCTGCACGGGGGGTGGGTTAGCTCAGGGCATGCAGTGCACGGGCAGCAGCGTGTGCCTGCAAAGTGGTACGTGCATATGTGCTTCATTGGCTGAATTCTGCAGCTCCAAAGAGGCCTGCATGGAGCTGAGGTGCATCTAAAGCATGCCTTGCTGAGGACTGTTCCGTGTCTCTGTACTTATCTACCTAACAAGCACGGAAAAAAGATGGCTGAATGTGGAAATGTTCAGTTCCTTCATCTTCTGTCTGCTGGAAGGAGAATGGAACAGGGGCTGGGATCAGAGATACAGGCTCTCCTTCCCACTTTGACCATGGATTTGTTTCTGACCCCCTTTTTTTAAGGTATTTCACGTCTCTCAGACTCTTTCCTAACTGGAAAAATGAGGAAGATATCAATGTTCCCACCTTTTATTAAAGTGCTTTGAAATCCGCGTTCACGACAGGATGAATAAGAGCTAATAAGCGTCTATTTGATAGTTTTTTCCACAGTAAATTTGATTCTGCCACAGCAAGGTAGCTAACAGGTCTTTAAGTAAAGAAATAGTACATGATGATGTTTGGTAAGGGTATGGTTTTGACTTTGGCTCTATCTCAGATTCTGTGTTTGAATACTTTCTCTATAGAGATAGACACAAAATTATATGTATATTGTCGTAGCTCTATTAAAGTATGTTACACAAGTAGCACATGTTCCTTTTAGGCTCTCAGAACTCCATTACAAAGGAGCCCAGATGTTGGTTCATTGCCTGACAAAGACTTCTGTATTTGTGTCTGGAGATATCCAAATGGAGATACGAGCACATACGTGTCTTTTCATACACGCTGAATCCAGGATTTGATGTGCTCTGCACGTTTCACACAGCTTGTCTGGATGGCATGCACCACAGGTTTGATGCCTCCTTGGGCACAAAGGTTTGGCCATTTTTCAGGGTACAAAGTCAGCCCAGTTCCTTGTACTTGGACAATAAGAGGATATTTGAGGTAGGAGACGGAAGACCTGAAGTAGTTGTTCCCATTATGAAATGAATATGTTAAGTCACCAAACTTAGGTCTGAACATCAAAGCTTGGGTGGAGTGTAAACCAGAAACCTCTTGACATGGCGTGGTGGATTTTTGGCTTTATCTGCTGTGAGGAATGCTCAGAACATGCTTTATTCTCCAGGATTTTCTCATACATTCAGTTAAGGCCCTAATTACTTATGGACTTTAATAGAACAGAATTTTCTCATGATAAGTCATTAAATTGTGCTGAAAAAGCTCTAAATAATGAACTGGCATTTGTTTCTATGGCTAAGATATTTTTTCCCCCTTCTGTTTTAATTCCTTAGTCCTGAAATCCACCTGTCTTTTGGCCTAAATTCAGTCCATCAGAATGCTTAAACTTAGGCTTCATTTAAGTATGTACTTACCACTGTAGGACCAAGAGTTGCATAAGGGAACAGCAGTATGGGATAGTAAAACCAAACTTTTTTCTTCTTTTTAATTTAAAAATCAGGGGAAGTTATTTTTAAACACCCAAATGAAATACAAATGAAGACAACCACTAGATGGCACTTGAAAATTGTGTATTGAGATCGTACATCTGCTGTCAAAATAATGACAAATTTGGCTAGACCCTAAAGGGTTTTATGTGGATCTGAATAGTTCGGGGAGGTGGTGGTGTTCCCATAACCAAAGTTCCTTTAGCTGTATGTTCTTCTTCCGTGATCAGATTAAACCACTGGGCTCAGGAATGCAGTCTGCAGTAAAAGCTCATTCCTGATACTTCAAATGTTGCCTTCAGTAAGAAGAGCAATACACGTAATGCACAACTTGAGGTCATTTCTTCTCATCCTATCACTTGGTACCTGGGAGAGGAGAGTCATATCCAGCACTGTGCTCTGCCTCGGCATTCCTTTGACCTTCTTGGCCTCTGCCTAGTTTGAGGTACAATGTATTTTGCCAAAGTGTTGCTGCTTTAATATTTCTTTTAATCCTATTTTAGGTCAGTAGTTTGGAAAACAACCCAGAATCTTGTAGGGGAGGGTTCAGGCAGGGAACAGCCTCCAAGGGTTCCTTTTTCTCTCATTTTTTGCCTTACCCACTTTATTTCTTGCTGGGTAGAGAAGGTGGAAGGCAATAGTAACAGTTTGATTCTGCAGAAAATAGATAGCAGCTAGAAATTCATCATCAAGTCAATACGTGGTATTTCTGTCAGTGACCATTGCACAAGCCTCTTTTAGGTGAAATTTTCATGTGGCCTCTTTATTGTTTTATCTGAGATGCGCGAGAGTTACATTACCGTGATTTATGAGCTAGTAATATTGAAGATGAATAAACCTGAGTAAACGCTGTCTGTAGCCATTAACTTGATTCTGGTTCTGTAGCAGCAGTGGGTAGTAGCTGTTTCGAGGGGCTGTCTGGAGAACTGTCTTAGCCTATTGTACTTGAGTTGAAGAGAGTGAAAGTAGACAAACTCTAATACCGGGTTGTGCGAGGCTATTTTACAGCCTATTAAATACGTATTAAGGGACTAATTCTTTCATTTGCTTATACAGCTGTATATGGTTCCCCTGACACTGGTAGTAATTATGACTGAATTTTATTATGAAGGCCTCGTTACACACATGGTAAACCTTAGAATGGATTACAGTAGCGATGGACACAGCTGCATTGTCCCGGTTTTGCAGAAGATGCTCGGGCACAATCAACAAGAGGTGAAAAGGAGAGTCGAACAATCTTCCCATTCATCTGTGCTCACCCTGCGATGGATGCTGCAGGGACGTCTCCTCCTTTGTGCCGCTCTGTGCTGTGCAAGAGCGCTTGGCTGTGTTTCTGCCCTGCCTGGACCCTACGGCAATTGGTACGCTTGCTAATCAGAGATTAAAATGAAGCTTTGGGAGGGGCAAGCCAAAACCACCCCCCCATTCAGAGGGTCTCCTCCTCTGCAGGCTGTGAGCACAACTCCAGGCCACCCCTCTTGTTCACATACAATTTCGGTCTGACTTTGGGTTCATACCAGTAGCCCTTCAGTGAGGAAGTTGTTGCTGAACTGCAGATGCCCTCGTGGGAATGAGCTGATGGGAGTAACCCTGCTGAGAAATTCATTAGGTATTTCCTGTGGCCATCTTACCTGTCATCTCACTGGCTCCAAAGCCATCTGTGCTGAGATTAACCATTGAGTGCCTTGCAAAAGCTAGCGGGAACCCCTGCTTAACAAATCACAAAGGTTTTCGTTTTAGGATGGTGTTAAAATATCAGTAAATCACAGGAATGACAGCGCTCTGTCTACAAAAGCTGCTCTTCAGGCAGGCACAGGTAGGCCTGCTCACACAGGGGCACAAAGTGAATTTTGGGGGGTACGTATGTGAATGCTCTCTCAGCTCTGGACCCTTGTTTTCATTGCTGTCAGCCAACCAGTCTGTCAGAACACCTCCCCTGCTTTAACTCTAAAAGTCAGTGTTTTTCGGCTTGCGCTGTTGCTATGGGCTGTGATGCTCTGCAGACAAGCACTCGAGAGGTGGTTGCATTTCACAGTCTGCTCCGTGTTCCTGGAGGAAAAGTGCGCTAGTGATAAATTGCTCTGGCGTCAGCAGAGGGATTTCGAGGTGCGTGTTGTTGTTATCCCCTTCTCCGTGGGAGGAGGAAGCATTCCGAAGCAGGCTGGGCTCTGTATCCTCTGTGCTTTGAATGTACGGTGTTTATTCTGCTCACCTTCCTGGGTTCGTTGTTGCTCTCTCCTGTTGTGGCTGCAGATGCAGCAGCAAAAATGAATGCTGGTTTGCAGCAAAAGGATGCCAGAGCTTTCTGGCTGGGTGGGCCAGATCTAGCAGCACAGGGGTCCCAGTGTATCCATCCCCTGGGTGACTGATATCACCTATGTATGCAGGAGGCCTGCTGCTGCTCCCCAGTGCCTGGCTCCTTCGCATTTATATTGCACAGAGCATGCAGTGAGAGAAACCCGAGAAACCCGTGCCTGCTCTCCAGGAGCTGCCCGCAGTGGATGCCACTAGGCTAATCTGTGCGGATTTTCCCAAGGGATGCACATGGCCATGGGAAGACCTGCTGTGGCGGTCTGTTGGCACACGGGGTAGTTAGTGCTTGATGCCCCAAAGGTGGCTCTCACCCTAATGCCTGTCTTCTGCACTTTATGACCCCGAAATCCTGGCCAGCCCAGTGTGTTGCTGGAGTCTTGCTAATGTTCTGGTGAAGTGTGTGTAGCAGTGCCCTGTGAGTCACTGGGGTTCTGGTTGCTTCTGCCTCTGCCGCTGCTGAAGACTGAAATCAATCCTGCAATAGCAAATGTCCTACTGTAACTTAAATTCAAGGCAAGAAAAGGCCTGTTTCGGTTAAGGCCTGAGCCTTCAGACAACTGCAGATGGCTTGGGTGGGTTGGCTGGATGATGATTTATTCCTATGGTGTGTGCTTCTTATTGCTGGGTTAGAGGGTTTTACTTAAAGCAGCGAGCTTTGAGTGCAGGCTTCACTTCTCCTCCCCACCCGCTGCCCGTTTGGAACCCCTGGGGCCGGTTTGGAACCCTGGGGATGGTTTGGAACCGCAGTGTCCCGGTCTGTTTCGGACCCGAGGTAAACGCCTCCAACGCCCTCACCGAGCCCAGGCTCAGCTGCTGCTCCGCATCCTCCCATTCCCCCAGCACGGAGGAAGCCCCGGGTACCTCCCTGGCTTCCTCGCCTCCTCGGCTAAGGTCTCCTTGGGTGGCACCGCGCAGCAGAGCTGCCAAATGCCGCCGTGGCCTCTCCTCTTCCCCACAGCAGGCACTTACAGCCGAGCCCCGCTAACCGGAGCACCGGCTGCCGCTCGGTGTGACTGCAGAGCCGGCCGGTGCGTGCCGGAGCCCGGAAGGAGCCGGCGCATCCAAGCCCCACGGCGGAGGGAGCGGTGCCTGCGGGCCGCTGGGACCTGCCTTGCCCCCCGTAACCTCCTCCAGCCGCCCCGCGCCCCAGCAGGGGCCCCATCCGCCGGTACGGCACCGCGCACCTCCCTGCCTGCCCCCGGCATGCTCCTCTTCAGCCCCGCGGGTACCACCGGTGCCGTCAGTTACCGGCCGTTCCGGCGAGCCCCGCCGCAGTCGCCGCTGGGTTGCAGCAGCGTTTCTGCTGCCTCCTTGTTCTCCCTGACCCGTCCTCCCCAGCGTGCTGATCCCTCCTGCTCCCGAGTCGCGTGTCTCCCGCACCCCCTCCTTCTGGATTGAGCGCGCCCGGGCTGAGCAGGGTTTGTGGATGCGCTTTGGCTTTGTGCGGCAGCGGGGTTTTGTTTTGAAGTGGAAGCGCTGTGTTTCCTGCCGAACGGGAGCTGCATTGCCCAAACAGCGAAGGTTTCCGGCGGGGTCGGCGGCTTGCCGCTTCATCCATGAGTTACGTTAAAAGCCTGCTCTGAGATAGAGCTGAACCTGTTGTGCCGGGCCTCAGCGGGTCCCTTTGGGAAGCATTGGCCACTTTTCGTTAGTGTTTTAAGTTAGTGATTAGTGTTTGAAGTCTTGACTTTTCTCAGATTGGATTTATTTGGGGTAAGGCATAGCAGAAAATAAAAGCTTGACCATTTCCTAAACCATTTCCCACTTTTATAAATTATAGAGGTTATTACCCTTTTTTATTTATACATACCCTATATTATTTTTATTATACGTTTATTATTTCTATATAACCCATATTATTGTTTATCGTTTATTAATTTAATTATATATACCCTTTATTATTGATACAAACCCTATATTATTATAGTTTAAAGTGAAATAATAAAGGTTATTTTTGTAGGTCCAGGAGGAGATTCCCGCAAGCCTGGTGCCTTCCAGCACTGATAAGTTTAAGTTAAACATACTGATTTTGTTTTGCCTAGTTAAGTGGTTGTTACCTGGTGTTCAGTCTGGTGAATGAGCATCCAAATAGGGGGGGACCCCAAAAGCAAAGGGTGACATAAAGACCAGAGAACTGAGGGGTGGTTGTTTTTATAAAGATGGTCCAAACTCGTACCTTTTGAGCACTTTTTTAGTTGCATATTTGAAATATGATGCTCCACTTAGTTTTCATGATTAGGTTTTCTTATGTTTAGGGTGTGAGGCACAACGCCACATGATGACTTGGGAGTTTTGTTCCTCAGTGTCATTGCCCTGCACACCACAGCCCTGCAGGTGCTGGGGTGCTGGGTGACATCCCAGGGGAGACCCTTCCCTTCTGCTGCTCGCCAGGGCTTGGCCTCTGTTTTCCTTCCTGTCAGCAGAGGCCATGCTCTTGTGCTCTGCATGATGGATGTGGAACACAGATTATTTGCTCATGTCTTTTATGTATTTAAAACCTGTTATTTTGTCTTTCTCAAGCTAAATGATGCTAGTTTTCACTGAGGTTTTCCTTTAGTTTTTCTTTGCCTGTTTTCTTCATTCTTCTTTTATTTCCTTGCCTTTTTTCCATTCTTTTTTTCACTTTTTTTTTTCTTTTTTACTTTCCCCCTCTATCCTCCTTGCTCTCTTTTCCTCCTTTTTTTTTCTTTTCTTTTTTCTTAGTGCATTTTCTAGACTACAGCTACTAAATTGTACTGTACCAAGTAGTTTACCCTACTGACAACAAGCACTTGCTGGTAGCCTAACCATGATACGCTCTTAACTTGGTTTTTCAGTACCATAACTAACGTAGCACTCCCAGGTTTGGGTTACGCACTGAATTTCAGGCTGAGTGTTGGTTGAAGTACTTGGCTGGGTAAGGTCCAGTCAGCTGTGTCTGCTTGGGTGTAAGGAAAATGCAGTCGTTGGAATCTATGCAAAGTTGTCTTTTTAATTTCCTAATTAGATTACTCACGCACTGTAATGTCAGTATCCAGTTCCTCAGTGTGCCTTTTGAGGGCAGTTTTGTAGCAGGCAGGGTTTGCCTGTCTTTCACTTCTTTTAATGAGGGCATTCTTAAAGGCTGAAGAACTCTCTACAAAGTAAAATAGGATTTTATGATATTTCTCCATGTTTTCTAGAAATGAAGAGAAAAAAAGAGATCATTATTCAAAATCAAACTTCAGGAAGCAACTTTGCAGCGGTTTATGTGCCTCCTCGTGACTTTCCAAGCTTTGTTTCTTATGCTTGAGTGTCATGGAAAGGTTCGTGTTCATTTAGTATCTTTTAAAACCCAGTTGCCTGAAGTGGTGGCACAAGCACATCTGAGTAGAGTACTCCTTGGAGAGAATAGGTGGGTTTTTATTATGTATTGAAGGCCTGAGATTTCTTTGTTCAGTAAGAGGTGGTCCTGTGCTATCCTGTGCACATGCTCTCTGCGTGGTTTCCATTCTGAAAGCGGATTTAGAGGGAGCTAGTACTTGAAATGCCCTTAAAGACATTCTTACTGATAGCTCTGAAGGATTAACTATGACAGTATTAACCAAAAGCAAAACTAAAGGATGCACACATGAAAAAGGCAAGTGATCACTAGTAACAATTTATCCCCCCCCTTTCTTCTTTAAAAAACTTGAAGCATCCTGGTACCATGCTAATGGTGAGTACAGTTGTTCAACATAAAGTGCTTTTCGTACTAGAGAAAACCTGATTGGTTTCTTGGCATTAAAACCCCCCAAAGAACATCTTATTTC